CTACTGAGCCATCTCCCCAGCCTAAATACATCTTTGATCACTCTTTGAAAATTTAATTTGCCTCTAAATAGAGCTTGCATTCTAAAAACTATTCTATAAAGTTTTTCAAAGGCAGAATTCTTTTCAACATAGAATATGGTCCAATGGCTGATCAGTTTTAGTTAAATGACATTACAGTTACTAAAGCTAAGCCAAATAGCCCTTTGATGGGCTGTGACCTCAACTGGGATGACAAGAGCAAATCTGGACCTGGGAGCCAGAGATGTAATCAGGTACACAGAGTACTAGTAACTCCTTACATTCAGAAAACTTCTAGGTCTACTGCTAGCCTGGTACAATGGCTGCTCCTGTAAGGTCTTCAGGGCATCTGAAGTTGGGATCTGCCAAACCTTCAAAGAACTGTTTATCTTTAGCCACACACAAATATGGAGTGAGTTTCTTCCACTTAACTTTTTCAATGCAAACTTCACAGAGTATCTGCACAACATATTAAATATACTCTAGATTTATTTACTAACTCTTGGTCCTATATAAGTCAACCCATTTTTAAGACACAATTATTTTTGAAACAAAATTAAGAAATGAGATTTAAAATATTCAACAGAAGTAAGAAAGGAAAGTTAAAAGAAGATGGATTTAAATAATTAGACACAACTGATTTGAAAGTTCAGTTCTGTCACACATAGTTTTGTGACCTGAGCAAGTTAGTTTCTCTACTTTTCACTTTCTGTCCCTTTGGCTAGATACCAGGATCATATCTCATGTCTCAGAGGGTTATAGTGAAGGGTAGCAGGATAAAAACATATTTTGATAAATGGTAAAAGATTAAGGCATCAATCATATGCTAGTGATACACTACCGTTCTCCCCTTCCCAAAAAGCTTTAAGCAGTTCTCTAAGTATATTATAAACCAATTTCTTTTGGTACTTGCAGATCATTTCATATTCTTAAGAAAAAAAATTAGCTATCTTTGGGTTTTACACATTTCTGACTTACAATATAGAATGTTCAATAGTTCCTCTGGTCTCTTCATTGTAGATGCATAATCCCTCTGCCCAACTGTGACAACAATATGTCTATAGGCATTTCCATTATATCCCCCTGGGGAGCAATATTGCCTCCAGTTGAGAAGTACTTAAAACTCAACTTGATCCTGGAGTTCTGGTTACCCTATAGTGAGGAATCACTGGAAAAACAAGAAGGTGTGGTGTTGAAGACGTTATCTACTGTATTACTCTTTGTTTTCCATTATGGTAGCTCATAGGAGAAATCTGTGTTAGACTTGCTATAAACAGAATGTTGTTTTCTTATGGATAAAGTGTATCCCAGTTACCAATCATAGTCTCAAATTTTCTTTGGCTCTTGAAAACTCAAAATCAAATTCATAGCCTATCTTTGATAACATTGTAGAGTTCATTGTATTAATTTATGTGCATTAAATCTCTTGAACATTAATTTTTCTTTTTTACCCTAAACTTTTAGCTTTGTCTTTAAATCTTAACTGTATCAGTATGTGGACAAAAAAAACTTCCTTGAATAATATTCAATATAACATAATAAATAAATTCTAATCTTCCCCAGAAGATCACTTTTTTTTTTTTTTTTGTGGAACTGGGGATTGAACTCAGGCCTTTGCACTTGCCAGGGAAGAACTTATTCTACTGAGCCATCTCCCCGGCCCCAGATCACACTTTTTATAAACCCTTTTTACCATTTCACTCCAGTCTTTTTCTGTTCAACCTGGGTCCTCCAGTTTTCTCACAAATGCTTACGTTTATCCTCCCCTATAAATTAAATTCTATCATTTGAGTAAGTTATGCCAAATACATCATGATCTGCAGTTTCATGACTGTCGTTTTACATTTACTAGACATGTATCTCTTCCGTGGCAGATACTGTTTATCTAGTGACTGTCCAGGCATGGTACACCAGCCTTCAGAACAAGAGCAGATAGAGAACTCACATCCTCTTTTCTCTTGGTGATGCTAGGTTTTCCTCACAAAAGCCTATTTCTAACACAGGCCCAGCAGTACTGGAATTTACCCTGAACCCTCCTACATGACAGTCACCAGAAAAATGGCCCATCTTGACTAAGTAACAACTACGAAGGGTCCTATCAGGCCCACATCCTCATTACTCTTGACAGTGCCAAAATAAGCCACTGTGTCTCATTTTAACTCTTAATCTAAGACTTCACATCAGACTGTAAATGTGGGTATTACAAAGTCCATCAATAAGTGAGTGGATAAACAACTTATGGTAAATTCAAAGAGGGGAGAGGAGGGGAAGGGAGAGGAGGAAAAAAGAAGAGTTGGCTATGGGGGCACATGCCTGTAATCCCAGCACTGGGGAGGCTGAGACAGGAGGATTACTGTAAATTTGAGGCCAGCCTGAACTGCACAGGGAAACCCTGACAGAGAAAGGGGGGGGGGGGGGGCAAGGCAAAAGACACAGATATGCATATTCTATATTGCATTATTCTATACTTATAAGAAATTCTAGAAGAGGCAAAATGGTGACGGCAGATTAGTGATTTCTCAAGGCCAAGAGAGGAAAGAGTACTAGGGACCTTTATGTAATGATGATAAAAACTTTCCTGATATCGTACCTTGATTTGGACAGTGGTTTCAAGGGTTACGTATTTATGAAAACTCAAACTGTACACTTAGGAACAAATATAGCATTCTTTCTGGTTTTTTGTTTGTTTGTTTTTCATGTATTTGGTTGTTACAGGGCCTCCCTACACAGCTTGGACTCTACGGCGATCCTCATGTTTTCAACCTCCCCAGCACTGGGATTACAGGCTTGCGCCACTGAACTCTGTGGCTGGCTCAGCCCACCCTAGAGGCAGGGCTAGTGTGACATGTGGTGCTGGGGATCAAACCACAGTCCCTGAGCTTGCTTAAGCAAGCGCTTTACTCTGCTGAACTATCTTGCTGGCCCCCAAATATAGCATTCTTGGTAAAATGCATGGACTAATAATGAGAAGATATACAAATCCAAATTGAAGGATATTCTACAAAATAAAAACTGAGCAGTAGTTTTCAAAAACACCAGTCATAAAAGAAAAAAAGTTTGAAACTGTCACAAAATAGAAGAGATGAAGGGAACATAACGATTAAATGCAATGTAGAATTCTGGAAGGGAAAAGGACACTCACAGAAAAACTGGTACACCCCAAATAAAGACAGTAGTTGAAGCAATGCTATCACACCAATGCTAATTTTTAGTTAGCTGTATCACAGTTATGGAAGTTTTAACACATGAGCAGTTGAATGAAGCATGTGTGGAAATTCACCATACTATATGTGTAACTTTTTAAGTCTCAAATTTTCTAGAGTCTATTTTATTAAATATAAATTTTAACTCAATTGTTTTAAAATTAAAAGAAAAACCCATTAAGAAATAATCCACTTCCCAGATCAATTCTTATACTTATTATAAAGTATAACCACTTTCAGTTCTTATACTTACTATGAAGGTTTCTCCTTCTAAGCTCCCTAAAGTTTAAGATTAAATAGAAAAGGGAACTCAAATCCTTGTTAGTATATAAGTTAATTAAACCCAGTTGATAAAACGTTAAGCATGCCATATTTAAAAGAATCACTAAATTTTAAGTTACTTTTAATATAAAAACTTCAGATACTTTCCTTAGAATGAAAATAATATAAATAAGAACACTATTTCATATTTAAATTATAATGGGATTCATAGTATGTTTACATCTATAGTAAAAAATTAATTTCTATGATTTTCACATATAAAAATGGATATATATTTGAACTTCAAAAACTGTAACATCTTACTTAATATTACTTAACAGTAAAATATGGGCAGAAATATATTTACTCAAAAATTAAAACTTTTATGGCATACCTCCTCTGTTTCCATTTTCTTCATCCTAAACAATAAAAACAAAATTCATATATGAATACATATTTATAAAGCACAGCAAGGTTCAAATAAATCCAAATTGTCCTCCCCAGTATAATCCAATTATAACCTCACTAACAGTGCCTTTTGTCAGAAAGGTGGAGTTTTCACAAATAGAGAAAAGAAATCTATGGGTGGGGCTGGTGAGATGGCTCAGTGGTCTAAAGCACCTACTTAGAACAAGCTTAGCAAAGCACAGGACCGTGGTTTGATCCCCCAGTACCACATGCCAGCCAGCCCCGCCCCCTGGTGGGCTGAGCTGGCCACACACACACACACACACACACACACATATAAAAAAAAAATTAAAAATTTAAAAAAAAGAAAAAAGAAAAAAAAGAAATCTATGGGTGAAGCCAGTTCAGCAGGGAGATTTCAGGAATCCAGTTTCTGACATGCTAAGTATGAATGATTAATGGAGTTAACCAAGAGGGGTCATCAAATAAACAGTTGGGATAGATGAGGCTCAAATTTTGGGATGAAGTCTGGTTATCATTTGTGTTTTGTTTTGTTTACGCTGGTTCAGCCTACCCTGAGGGTAAGAGTGGCACAGCACGTGGTGCCAGGGATTGAACTGTGGTCCCTTGTGCCTGCCTAAGCTTGCCTAAGCAGGCACTAAGTTTAGACCCACTGAAGTATCTCACTGCCCCAGTCTGGTTATCATTTACTGTACTATACTAAGCTGAGAAGAACCTTTAGGGCCATTACAACACCCAGAATTATCTACATAAAAGGACTGGTTCCTAACAGCTACATATTTCAGTTCTTATACTTACTATGAAAGTTTTATTTGGTCTTTCTTTGCTACCAAGTTGCTTTATTGCTGTGCTATCTATATCTAGCTGAGAAACTAGAAAATATTTTAAAAAGTAGTATAAAAATACATTTATTTAAACATTTGCTGAGTTTCAACCATGTGGAAGCTGCCATGTACTTTAAAAAGAAAAACAGACATTTGATAATTTATTACATAATTTTTGACCTTTATTTTGGCTGGCGAAAAGTTGTTCTGCTGCTGTTGCTTATAAGTTCTGTTCTGATATCAGAAAGGTTGCCAGCTAAGTGACATAATACACTGTTACATAAACTACATATCTTTGATGCAATATCAAAATTGTCTTAAATTCCTTTGGGGCTAGGGATAGAGCTCAGGGATAGAATGCTTATCTAGTATATGCAAAGCACTGAGTTCAATCCTTAGCACCACCAAAACAAAAAATATCTTTGAAGGTGACAGAACGTCATAATTAAAATAGAAAAATTTCAATATATTTATTCCATGTAAAAGAGACTGAGACCTGTTTGCACGGACATCTATACCAAGTAACAAATACCACTAATGTTCACTGAGCAGTTATTACACGTCTAGTTCCACGTGTCTGATATGTGTTAAGTCTCGTAATCATCACACAGCTCATGAGAAAGGTGGTCCTGCTATCTGTTAGGTGCCTTGTCACAGTCACAGAACAAGAGGCAGCAACGGGATCAAAAGCTGGTTCTTCTGACTCCAAAGACTATGCTCTCAACAATTACACTGTTCCACTGAAAATTTCCAGAAACACGTATAATAAGAATGTATTTTTAACCTGTGTTTAGTAACATTATCTTATAAAAGTGTACTGGGTATACATTTTACAATGCAAAACAAAATAAAACAAAAAGCCCTCAACCCTAATATGGAATTATCAAATGCTATGATATGTGACCTAACACATAAATACTACTACTTTAGACCTCTTAAGATAAACTACATTGTCAGGACACCTAAACAACAGTTTTACAAAAAATTTATAAATCTCAAATTGGTAAATTTTAATTTTAAAAGTAGCAATTATTCATAATCTCTGAAGGCTATTAGGAACCTTTAACAAGACTATCCTGTAAGACATATTTTACCAAAAAGAAGCACTTAACAAAACTGTAACAAGATTGCATTTTCTAGATAAAATTAGACACTGCTTTTTAAAACACCTACACATTCAGATACACTGGCCAAGTTCAAATGCCAGGTCCATTATGTGTCCAGATCAGTTCTCTGCCTGTTACAGGAGGCTAATAACACTACTTGTTCCACAGGATATTGGTGAAGATAAAGTGAGATTAACTTTCGTAAAAAACCGTAAAGAACACAGCAGTAGTTGGTGTGTCAACTGCAGTGAGAATTATTACACACCCTGTTTTAGATCTTATTATTATCCTCTGAAGCAGGTTTGTATAATTCACTGACTAGCAGCTTCATTTTGAAATTCTTACTCACCATATTATATATCTGGATGTATTGCTATAATCTTTTTAAGAATTTTCTATAACTAGAAGAATATTTTAATGAGTTATTTCCTTTGTATATTCTGCTGAGAAAACTTACAAACTTTCTAGACAGTAAGGACAGAGTTATATTCATATTAGAAAAACTTGAAAGAAGTCTGTAAGTCCTTGAAAAACTAGAACTATATGATCTTTCATAGAAAATTAAGGTTTTTTTGTTCTAGAAGGTAGAACACTATCTAAAAGAAGACAAAATGTTAGAAAAAAGGAAGCAAAGGAAAGATAAGGCAAAATGGGAACTGACCTATTTTTCAAGTTATTAATTATTTTTCTTACCTTATATGAAAACTGAATTGCAGACTCTGGAGGATAAACAATAAAATGTCTTAATGTAAAACCAAAGCCTTGAGATGTTCTTTTCAACATGACTGTTTTGGGACCTGGCCAGGAGAAGGTTTCATCTTCGGACGGTGATACTGTGTCACTCTGTTCTTTTCCATCTTTATTTTTTGATACCTAAAGTTAAAAAGGTATTTGAAAATAACTATGTAACAAAATATACTTCCCGTAAAAATTATATATAAAAATGTAGTACCTGCACATAGAAAAAAAAAGATTTGAATCTCTTACTTAAAAAGAAGCACAAACCTCATCAAATTGTGTGTAATTTTACTGATCTGTTGATTTGCGCAGGGATGAGTTCCTCCTTGGCTTCTTGACTTCCCACACTAATTTCTCTCCCAATTTACAGCATATTTTTTTCTCAATCTGATTTGCTTCAACTACTAAATTTCTGAACTCAGGAGTATCCAGGACTCAGTCCGTGGTCTTCCCTAGCTACACTTCAGTCCCATGCATTACACACCTATATGCAGATGACTCACAGAAACTTACCTGTAATCTGAACGCCTCCCCGATCAAACAGCTTTCTCAAATTTTACATGGATGCACTCTACCAAGATTTTAAGTTACAATTCCAAGTTCAGCCAAAGAGTTTTGAAATGTGACCTTTACCAAAAGGAAAATACTTTACTATGCTCAATTCTATTGTATTTTTTACTGCCTTCTACCAATGAGCCCCTCAATTCTTCCACGGTGATTTGCTTCATACAAAGGTGAGAAGATAGCTAGAAAAAAATTACCCAACTTGTAGTAAAGCTGACTATGACTATGCAAATGAGTGACTGGAATATGAACAAAAGTATTGTACAATATACAAAAATCAACATTTTTACATATGCAAGCAACTGAAAACTAAAATTTAAAAATGTGCCATTTAAAATGGGATTGTAAGTGTAAAATGTAGAGCCAGGGAGACAGCTCAGTGCCATAAGTGCCTGCCTAGGTCCTGAGTTTGATCCCTGGTACTGGGGGGAAAAAAAAGAAGAGTGAAATGCTTAAGGATAAGTTGAAGAAAGATTTGCAAAACCTGTAAATTGAAACACTCAACATTACTGGGACATATTAAAGAACAATTAATGAAAAATATATCATGTTCATGTTAAAATTCAGTATTGGCATAATGTTAACTTTCCTAAAGTATTACTTGATTCAATAAAATCCCAATCAAATCTCAGATTTGTGTGTAAAAGTTGTAGTTTTCAATTTAAAATACAAAGAACCTTCAATTTAAAATCCAAAACAACTTTGATGGCCGGCCAAATAGCTTGGGGGGGGGGGCTGAGACAGCAATTGAGACTGGGCGTGACAGTGCCTGCCTGTAATCCCAGCTCTTGGGAGGCTGTCAACAGGCAGATCACTACAAATCAGACCTACTAGTGAGACCTTGAACACCCTGTAGACCCTTCCCTAAAAATAAAAGACTTTGGAAAAAAAAACAAAAAAACAAAACTATACTTAAAGGTCTTCAAGACTTAGAAAGCTACAAATAAATAAATAAGTAAAAAGTCTTAGAAATCTATGATACTCAAGATAACACCATGCTAGCTGGCATTAAGATAGGCAGACTCAGAGACCACAACACAGTCCAGCTATAAACCACAACCATATGACAGAACAATCCAGCCCCTAGGTATTTATCCAGAAGTATAAACATGTCAGTTTCATACAAATACAAGTACTTGAACTGCTGGCTACCCATATGTATGAAAATGAAAGAAACAGTGATTTCTAATTCATATTACATTCAAAAATTAACACAAAGATCACAGATTTAACTAAAGCAAAAATCTTTACAAACAGGCTCAGTTTTCTTAAATATATCAAAAGATAAATGGAACTTCATTAAGATTAAGAACTTCTGATCTTTGAAAGACATAAGAAAACGAAAGGCAAGCAACAGGAGACTGTAAATGAATGCCACATGAAAGACTTGTATCTAGAACATAAAAAAGAACTCAAAATTCAATGATGAGAAAAAAAAACCTCATAAAAAATTGGCAGATGATCTGAACAAATTTCACCAATGTTACATAGATGCTAATAAGCATGTGAGGACATCATCAGCATTAACAGTTCGCAGAAAAATGCTAACTAAACCCACAAAAGAAAAAAAAATTGAAAAAAAAGTATACTTATAGGTATATATGTCCACACATGGAAGAAGTACTAAAGTTGTGAAGATCAACCATTCCAACTGTAGGGCAAGATGTGAGGCAACTGAAACTCTCAGACACTGTAGGTATAAACCTAAAATGGTATGAACATTTCAAAAAATAGCCTGAAGCCAGGTGTGGTGGTACATGCCCGTTATCCCAGCACCTGGGAAGCTGAGGTAGGAGAACAGCTGTGAGTTAAAGCCAGTCACAGCCATTTTTTTTTTAATTTTTATTTATTTATTTATTTGAGAGAGAGAGAGAGAGAGAGAGAGAGAGAGAGAGAGAGAGAGAGAAAGAGTGTGTGGCCAGCTCAGCCCACCAGGGGGCAGGGCTGGCTGGCAT